GAAGTGGAGCTTAGTGCTCCTCCCCTCCAATGATGCCTGAACTTAGTGACTCTTTTCTAATGTACAGGAAGTGGCAGAAATGATGGGGTAGGATCTGGGGTAGGTTGTAGGAGACCTTGTGTGCCTTCCTGTCTTGCTGCTTCACTGAGATCCGTGCTTGATATGCATGGGCCGCTTGGGCCAGATGACTTTCATTGTTGGAGGCTGTCCTGGCCATTCACTGTGGGATGTTGAGCAGCACCACTGGAGGCTGCCCACTAGTGCCAGTGGCACTCTCACTGCGCCCCCCCCCCCCAGTTGTGACAGCCAGAAATGTCTCTGTTAAGAACCACTGTTTTAGGGGAAGCCAGCTGCCATGTTGGGAAACCAGCAAAGCAGCCCTGCCCAGAAGCCACCATGGCGAGAGAATAGGCATCCCGCCAACAGCCATGCAAGTGAGCCATCCTGGAAATGGGTTGGTTCTTCAGCCTCAGCCGTCTTCAGATGACTTTTGCTGTGGCCAGCATCTTGACTGCAATCTCGAGACAATGACCCAGAGCCATCAGCCAGCCTGCTCCTGAAATGTGAGATAATATGTCTTGTCCAAACCACCAAATTCTGGGGTAATTTGTTATCCACAGTAGGTAACTAATAATACTGAGTGTTATTGTGAAATGAACATACATCATGTGGGAGGGCGAGTTAAGACAGAGAAAATAAAGGTTATGGAGACACTAATGTCTGCTGTTGACATCTCCAGTCATGTTTACAGCATGTGTGTAGAGTGACTATGAAGCCATTACTGTAAAAGCTTTCTAATTGCAGCAGCAAGAGAATACTCAATGCTTACAGTGTAATTTAGGATTAGTCTGTTTAACACTTCAGATCTGTTTGAAAGATGTTAAAAGTTATTTGTGATGTAGAAGTACCACAAACTTTGACAGTACCACTCTTGGATATGCATCTGAAGGAATGTAAACCAGGATACAATAGATGTCTGTACGCCCATGTTTATTGTGGCATTCTTTACAACAGCCAAGCTATAGAATCAGCCTGGATGCCTTTCACCTGATGAGTAGATAAAGAAAATGTAGCATATATACAGAGTGGAGTATTATTCAGATGTAAAGAAGAATGAAATTGTGTCATTTGCAGAAAATGGATGGAATTGGAGATCAACTTGTTAAGTAAAATAAACCAGGTTCAGAAGGTCAAAGGTTGAATGTTTTTCTCACATGCAGAGTCTAGTGTGAGTGTGTATTTGTAATCGTGGGGCTGTTTGAGGGCAGGGGGAAGAAGGGATAGGAAAAGAGATTGATGGGTGTGAATAACATTGAAATACATTGTGTCTGTGTTTGAAGATGGCATAAGGAAACCCACTGAAACTGTTGAAAACAGTGGGGACAGGGAAAGGAGAGCAATCCAAGAAGTTAATCTGATGTAAGTACAATGTATGCATATGTGAAATACCATGGTGAAAACCCCTTGTACAATTAATATTCGTATACAGCAAGAAAAATTTGTGATAACTTAAAAAACATGTCATTGAAATTTTCAAAATATGAAAAGTAGAGAGGATTTTTGCAATCATTATGAGATAACTATTTCTCTTTTTGAAATTTTAGTTCTGAATTAGCATACATTAATACGAGGGGATTTCGTTGTGATAATTCCATACATAAGTACAGTGTAGCTTGAACAAGTTTCCCCCCTATTATGTTCCCCCCCGCCCCGCCCCAACTATTGCTCTTGATGTAGAAACTTTGCATGGCAATCAGTGACTGAAACACGACTCTGTCGAACTCTGCGCCCATCCAGGCTGTCTTGAGAGTGCCAGTGTCTCTGTCTTCTGGATTAGGTCTGAAAGAGCTGCTGTGTGCCCTCCCCATTTTGCTAATAAAACTCTTTGGCCTTGTGATAGCTGGCTGTAGCTAGATGGTCTAGGAAGAGAACTATCTGAAACCCACTATTATATTTTTGCAAAGATGCTGATTGGTGTGGATTAGGACATATTGCCACACTATAGAGTGCCTTCATAGGCACCGATAGGCGGAGCTTGTCTCTGGTTATTGCAGGGGTAATTCTTCAGGCGCTCCTGAGTACCTGGCTTGTTTTTATTGTAGGGCTCCTGTGACTCATGTCCTGACATTGTGTTCTCTTTTGTGGTGGCTGGAGTGGGCTCAGAGCCAAACTGGAGGCCCACCTCTAAGGCATTTATTTAGAAAGGACCTCATGCTAACCTCGCTGGTGTAAACTTTCTCTTATTTTATTTCTTTCCCTTAATGTCAGTTTTACTTAATGAATACTATTACATGCTAGGCACTGGATTCAATCAGCAGTTAGATGAGTTAGGACATTGATGCTCTAATATTGCAATAATCACTTTTAGTGAATTTTGTATTTTTTTTTACCGTATCGATGGTTTTATTAGGAAATGATTTTATATTATGTAAATTAATTTTATGACTTTGGAAGACTTGTAAACTTACAGTTGGGGGAGGGGAAAACTTGTTAAACAGTATACCCTTAATTTTAGTTTGAAGAACCTGATTACCATAAAGCTAATTCCATCTTGTGATGCTGGTCATGGAAATAGGGTTTTGCTCATAGCACTAATCTTCAAATATGATTGAGAGTGATCTTCCCAACTGGTCATGCTAGAGAGTGAATCATTGTAATAATAAAGGCAAAGCCCATAGCCTCGTCCTTGGCCCCAGCTTCCTGTTCTGGAAAAGAATGAAGATTGAGATTAAACAGGTATAGGCTTCCAGACAGCGTACACGCATGTAAGTAAATATAAAAGCGATAACATGAAAGAAAAAACAAAAAACAAAAAAACAGGGGTAGGCTTAAATCCCAACTGCATACCAGTTCTATGATCTTAAGGGAGTTGTTATGTTTCTGACCTTTGGTTTCTTTTTTTGGAAAGTAATATGTATATTTTATCAAGTTAAAAGGATAAACAATGCCACTAATTCAATACATTTGAATTTCTTCCATTTGGCATTCAGTTGGTTTTTTTAGGTAATTTATGGGGTTTTTTTAATGATTAGGAATTTTTGCTGTTGGCAATTATAATTTAGGATAAAATATGTAATTTCCCGTTTTACCAAATACTTTGATTATGGTAGAAACAGGAAGAGAGGAAGAGCATTGAAACGTTTCAAGCATTGGGGGCAGGGCTGATCATGTATTCCTTGCTTTAGCAGCTTTTGCTATCAGAATAACTAATAAGTAGAGAGCAGTTGCTCTGAATAATTCCTGCATGTCTCTTGAAAGTAAGATATATGTTATAAGTGGGAGTGCATGGCCTTTGAAGTAAAAATCAGCCTGTTCTGAGGAAAACATTCAGTCATGGAAGAGGCATTATATGTGGAGCTGCAGGAGTGTTCATATGTGTGTGTGCGTGAATGGAATGGCTCGTGATACATATATTTAATGAAATTATTATAAATGATGGATTTTTAAAAATTAGTAAAATGAAAAATGTTTATGATTTAGGGATGTAGGATATACGTTTAAATACTATGATCATAGTTATGTAAGTCTCATTTGAAGGTGTGTAATTGTTACTAGTAGTTTTATTAAACTTCAAGTGCCTACAGCTGGTAGAGTGCCTATGAGGCCCTGAGTTCAAACCCTGGTGTCACCAAAAAACCCCAGAAAACCCAAATCAGCAACACTTAGAGTGCCTCTCTGAGTGACAAAAAACAACACAGGTGATTTATGCTTCTAACTTTACTAATGACTTGAAAAGATGTAAGTGATTTTTTTAAAAATCAGAGAGTAGAAATACGTAAGATGCAAAGATGTTGAAAGTGTAGTGCATGAGGCATTTCTTCTGTGTGTTTATATTCAGGTATACACATGAGTGTAGATTGTTTCCCCACAGATAGGCTCAGCGTGACTTCTGATACGTGTTCCTTTTGCCCTAAGTAATATAACCTCGAAGAAGAGCGCGATTCTTGATTGATAGAATATGGAGGACGTGAGAGTGTGCCAGTTTGTTTAAACTGTTCTCAGTTGGATGTTCAGTAGTTTCTGGCTTTGTTCTTGTGAACAGACTACAGTCTGCAGACTGCAGTATTTTGAACCCAACTTCATGGAAAGTGGTCAACTATCTGTCTATAGTGGTACTGTTTTATTGGGTATTCTTTGCTGCATGTGTATTTCATCATTCCAGTTAGATGGTAAGTTCTGTGAAATCAAGTACAATTTGTAAGGTTTCTTTTATATCCATAAAGAATCACATGAAAGATATTTTTGTAAGTACTTGTGGAGTAATATTTTCATTATTTGTGGAATAATACATTATTAACTTGTAAGTGTTAAAGATTCAGAAGGAAGCCAGGCAACCGTGACTCACATCCGTAATCCTAGCTACTCAGGAGGCTGAGATTGGAAGGGTGGAGGTTCGAGACCACCCTTGGCAAGTAGTTCTTGAGGACTCCCCCCATCTCCAAAATAACCAGAGTAAAGTGGACTGGAGGTGTGGCTGAAGCGGTAGAGCACCTGCTTTGCAAGTGTAAAGCCCTGAGTTCAAGCCCCTGTCCCACCAAAAAAAAAAAAAAAAATTCAGAATGAATAGCAGAATTTCAATGATTGAAAAATTACCTAAGATAAAGTAAGAATGAAAGTTTTCTTATGAAGCCTTTTCATTAATACTATTTCGATTTCAGTGAGGTAGAGTTAATTACAGTAGGAAGCATTTTAGAAAAGAACCGGAGTGCATACAATTAGAATATATTTAAAATGGACTGAACTGTTAGCAAAGTTGAACTTGTTGTCCATTATGGTATAGTGGTTAAGAATTTACTCTCGCCAGGCATGGTGGAGCACTCCTATAATTCTAGCTTTTAGGAAGCTGAGGCAGGAGAATTGCAAGTTTAAGGAAGCTGGCACCTTGCCAGCTTGTGCAGTCTAGTGAGACCATGTCTCAAAATAAAATTTGAGTAAAGTGCTTGCTAGCATGCATAAGATCCAGGGGTTAATCTCCAATAACACACACACACACACACACACACACACACACACACAGAAGCACACTCCTAGGTTTTAATCTCAACTCTGTTGTTTTCTGTTTATGCCCTGGAAACATTACTTCATCTCTTTGTAGCTCAGTTGCTCATCTGAAGAATGGGAATTATAATAATGTCTTTTCTTGAGGTGGTTGTGATAAAGATTCTCATATATGTAAAGATATAAGAACAGTGCCTAGCAATAATAACACCCAATAAATATTAGTTTTAACGTTAATGTCAATTTCTGGTTGGACATCTGAATTTGTAAAAATTAAGAGTCAAATGATGAAGTTGCAGTCTTCCTCTTGTATTTTGAAATATTCTCAGTCATGTTTTTGTTAAGCATTTCTTGAGAATGTTCCATGTTCCAGGCAGCCTGTGTGCTGCTGTGCTACGATGGTGAATGAGCACGGGGATTTCCTGCTCTCAGATGCTTAGTGGAAAGGGCAGATGTTATTATTAATGTCTAATATTTGAGCTTTACTATGGGCCAGGCTTTTGCTAAACCCACTATAAAAGTTATCACCTTTAATCCTAACAGATACCCTACAGATTAAATATAAACATTATCCTCATTTCACATATGAGGTTGAATTTAATTTAACTTGCTCAAGATTATACAGCTATTCAGTGACACAATTGGAATTAAATCCAAAGTCCAGTCTTTATTTAACTGCTCTGCTGGATGGTAAATAAAGGCATAATAATAATTGTGATTATTATTAATCCTAGCCTGCCTTTCTCTTAATAGATACAGGAATCAAATAGAGATAAACATGAGCACTTTATTTCTGGTAAAGCTGGCATGGAGAATGGCCTGGCCACTTGATCGAAGTGGGCCTCTTACTCCTTCGCTGCCGAGCTGGGCTTGCACACTCAGTCCCTGATGAGGAGAGTTAAGAAGCTGGGTCACATAGGAACTGGGACCATTTCCCTGCTGTCTAGCCAGTTTAGAGAACTGAGTTTAGAGAAGAGAAAAAACTTAAATAGTATCTTGAGAGGGAGGAAGTCGCTCTTTTATGGGTTTGAAGGGACAAGGGGAGTAGAAGAGGAGCCTTTATCCCTTTATATGGGATAAGGAGGGAGTCAGTGACAAGGTTGTGACAGAGTGACTGCCTGGGACCTCCTAGTGGTGACTAAGCCAATAGTTGAAGGATAAGGATTTGGCGTGGAGGCAAAGAGGATTCAGGAACAGCCTGTCCCAAGTAGTTTAAGGAACTGAAAGGAGTCAGAGGAAAGGGTGGCGCAGAGCTGGGTGGAGTGCCCTGTGGGGTCAGGTCACACAGCCTTGTAGTCCATGATAAGAAATTTGCTTTTTTTCTGTATGCCAGGGAAATTCCTTGAAGGGTTTAAAGCGGAGGAATCGTGTGGACTAGTTTACATTTTTTAGAAGACTGAGGTACAGGCTGGGCACAGTGGCTCATATCTGTAACCCACACTCTGGAGGCTGAGGTGGGAGGGTCATAAGTCCAAGCTAGCCTGGGCTGTGCTGTGAGACCTGCCTCAGAATACATTTGTACTGGATGCTAGTCGAGAATATATCAGAAGAAGGCCAGGGTGTGGTTCATGTGGCAGAGCACTCACCTAACAAGTAAGTGCAAGGACTTGAGTGCAAACTCCAGTACTGCCAAAAACCCACCCAAGCTATATCAGCTACATTTTAAGCCTGGTGTGATGGTGTATGCCTGTAATCTCAGGCATGAGGCAGTAGGTTAAGGCCAGTTTGGGCCACCTAGTGACTGTAAAAAAGTATATTAGAAGGGGGAAAACAGAAAGAAAGGAGTCCTGTAGGCAAGCTGGTGATGCGATGACAGACTAATATGACAGTGGTGAAATGAAGAGAAGCTGAATTTGAGGTACAAGAGTCTCAACTTATTTTTAAAAATTATCAGGACTTGGGATGGGGGCAGGGGACTGGAGGGAAAGGGAGAAAGCAAGGCTGACCCTCAAATTTCTGGTTTGAGCAGCTAGATGGACAGCCCATTTATTGGAATAATAGAAACAAGGAGAAGACTAGTTTGAGTGCTTGAGCTTGCTGAGTTCAAGGGGCTTATGTGTCTTTCGTATGAAAATCATGGCAGGCAGAGGGCTCAGGAAAGTATTTCAGTGAGAGACATGGATTTGGGAGTTTTCAATTTAACTTCAGGTCGTGGGTATAGACGAAATCATCTAGAAGGAGAACACAGCAGGGAATAAAGAAAAAAGCTAGGACCATGTCCTGAAGAGTTCCATGGTGTGGAGTTTGAGAAGCACCCACAATGGAGACAGAAGGCGCTGTCTGAATGTTGATACAGACTCCAGGAGGGGACAGTGTTTAGGGGAAGGGGAAGTGGTAAAAGCAATTTGCTAGTCCAGAACAACAGCCGTTGGCGGCAGAGGACAGTAAGGACCTTGAAAAGAGCAGTTTCCGTGGAATGGATTGGAGAAGGAACAGGAGTTAAGAAAATGAGTTGGTTTTGTAGATCTGGTCTGTGCTCTACCAGACACCTGGAGATCTTGTAAAATGTAGATTCTACTTTAGGGTCCGAGATTCTGCAATTCTAATGAGTGCTGCTGGTTCAAGAGCACACTTTGGATAGCAGCGGTGTAACTTAGTGGTTCTCAGGCTGTGGTGTGTGTTAGAATGTGTGGACGTACAGATTACTGGGCCCGCTTCAGAGTTTCTGATTCAGTAGTTCTGGAATGGTACCTGAGAATTTGCATTTCTTACAGATTCCCAGGTGAAGCCTATGCAGCTTGTTCCTGTGCTTTGGAAAGCTCAGGTGGTGGGGATTTTTTGTCCTTTGAGGGTACTTTAACCGTGATGGAGAGCCATTGAGGGAAGGTGTTTGTTGAGGATGGGAAATTGCTAGAGCATGTTTGTACTGACAAGAATGGTCCAGCAGATAGGGAAAACTGGTAATTGATTGCAGAGAGAACAGGAATAAAGACGTGAAGCCTTTGAGAAGTTACAGGATGGCTCCAAAGCATGATTTGATAAGAAGAAACATGCGTACTTAGTTACAGCAAGAGGGAAAGGGGGGAGGATGGGGCCAAGTGCAAATGAGGTGTTGGATTTGTGGGTGGGCAGATGGATGCCGACTTGATGGTTTCTATTTTCTCAAGGCAAAGGCACCTTGTGAGTGAGCTGGGTGAGTTGGAGTTTTGAGACAGATGTCAAGTGATCACTTTGAAGCAGGAAAATGAACTTACTTCTAAAGAGTGGCACTACTGAGAGCCTAGTTGAAGTTAAGATCAGAAATTTAAAATGCAAACAGCTTGTTTGTTTGTACATTGTTTTTTCTTCAACCACAGTTACTTCCTTGGATTCAGACAAGGGTAATTAAATGGTTGAGGTCACCTAAGGCTAGACTGTACCTAGGTGAGAACAAGAGAGTGGTGTGGGTAGGGAGGCGGGGACAGAGAAATGAAGGTAGGAGAGGATTGAAGTGATGATAAGCTCCACAAATTTGTTGTAGTCGAGATACAAGTAAACTAGAAGTAAGTGAAAAGAGATGGAGGCTTTCAATGGAAAGAGAGTGCTGATGTTCAAAGAATGGAGGTGGGATAGATTTTGATGAGGGTAGAGGGCTGGGGTGTGGCCGGGAAAGTGGCTGGATGAGGTGGGGTTTCCTAGAGAGGTCAGGAAATACAGAACATTGGATTTGCCCTCCACCTGGATGCTGAAGTTGCCAAGAATGATGATAAAAGTAGGGAATGGAGAGAGACTTTCAGATAGGACAAGGACTAGCCTTTTGGTGAATGATGGAAAATTCCAGGTCAGTAGATAACAGCAGCAGAGAGGGATGGTTTGTCAGGATTGTGAGCAGAGGCTTTTAGAAGACAAATGGGAAGTAGTAATCTTGAAGTGGTAATGGTTGACAAGGAGTCCCCACCTGCTAGCCTCAAGTACCTGGACCATGAGAGAGCTCCCTCTAACGGCAGGGCTGTGAAAGAAGTAGTGTCTTCAAGGTAAAGCCTAGTTTGACAGAGTTAGAGTCAGAAAAGAGGTTAGAGGCTTTCAGGAGTGTATCAGAAAGCAAATTGGGGAACTGAAGAATGAGGATACATGTGAAAGCTTGGGGGGAGGAAGGGGAGACTCTGTGAGTTAATAGACTGGTAAGAGAAAGTTTGTTGATAATAGATGGCCAGAAACCTTAGATCCTCTTTATTAGACTGAGATAACAGGGAGACAAGGAATGATGGACTTAGCCCAGGCAGTTTCTGAAAAAAAAGTACATACTGGATTTCTTCCCTGCCCCGCCCGCTTTTTGTGGTATGGGGGGTTAAATTTAGGGCCTTATGCTTGAGTTCTACCTCATCCCTGTCCCTTTTGCTTTTAGTTTGTTTTTTTCAGATAGGGTTTACACTAACTTTGTCAGGGCTGGCCTCAAACCTGATATTCCTGTCTCTGCCTCCCGAGCAGATGGGATTACAGGCATGAACCACCACACCCAGCCACGTCACATTGCTTGCTATAGGTTTTCTGCAGGATCTAGCCTCTGCCTGCATCTCTGACCTCATCCCTCACTGTCTCCCCTTGCTCCCTGTGCTCTGCCCACACAAGCCACCTTTCTCCTTCAGTTACTCCAGCATGTCATACTTTCTCTCCCTCTGTTTCTCTTTTCATTCTTTTGTTTGCCCTTGCTCTTCTGAGGCACAGCTTAGCCAAGCAGTTAATAGTATGAGCTCTGGATCCAGTCTCCCTGCCTTGTCACTTTTTAGCTTTGTAACAACAGGCAAGTTATTTAACCTCTCAGTGCTTTGGTGTCCTTATTTGGGAGTGAAGGAAGGATGATAATATTTTCTTTGTCAGAGTGTTGAGGGATTAAAAGTGCTAACTTAAGAAAAATAATATGAAGGGCTCAGAACAGTTCATATGGTAAAAAACTCAATGTTAATTCTGTCATTATTGTTTTACTTAAAGTTCGTTTTCCCTTTGTCTTCATGTGATTACTGCTTTTTCATATGAGTTGTGAGCCGAATGTACTTCCTTGGACGTCCTAGCTAAAGTGCCATAACTGTACAGCACAGGCTTTCCCGCACTCCTTACCTCATCACTGTCTTATTTGGTCAGCGTCCATCACTCTATGGAAGCACTTACTATCCTCCCTTCCCCTTCCCCCCCCACCCCTGAGTGTGGGTGTTGCTGGCTTGTTTCCCGCTGTATCTCAGCCAGCCTCTAGAAAGTGCCCAATGCTTTGTAAGTGTTCAAGAAACGTTTGTGCCAGCTCATTGTTCTGAGCACAGGGTGGATTCACCAGGTGGCATATGGTAGCAGGGCGACAGTGAGGCCTAGGCAGAGAAGGTGACAGATCCAATTCTGCTTATCAGTCTGTTGGCTCATCTAGATTGGGCGGCTGCCTGTTTTTTTGTGAAGTTTGTTAGAACACAGCCACACCCGTTTGTGAAGACTTACTGTCTGACTGCTCTCTGGCTACAACTGCAAGCTGAGTAATTGTGACACAAAGTCCAAAATATTACTCTTGGACCTTTCTGGAAAACTTAGCCAACTCCTGATTTAGACAAACAAACAAGACTAGAAGCAAGCATCAAAAACCCTAGAAGCCTTCTCTGGGTAGAGGGATTGTAAGGCATAGTTTTATAAGTTTTTATATTTTGTTATAGTTTTGTTTAATTGGAAATGAAATAACCTTTTCAGTATTCAAAAATGGTATTGAGAGCACTTTTAATGGTGGGATTTTTTTTTTTTTTGTTTTTCTTTTTTCCCTTTTAGTGCTGCTTTTGACACAAAAACTGGGTTGCGTGTGGCAGTGAAGAAGCTGTCCAGGCCATTTCAGTCCATCATTCATGCCAAAAGGACCTACAGAGAGCTGCGGCTGCTTAAACACATGAAACATGAAAATGTAAGTTACTCACGGGGGAATAACTGCTGTTCCTGTGGACTGAAGAGCACATGCTTTAATCCCTGCAGGTGGAAGTCGTTGCAGTGCCTGGAAGTTTGGTCCATGCCGCTATGGGTACTGGTGTGCTAGTCAGCACCTGAGCTGTCAGGTCCAAGTCCGGCAAAAATGCCGCATCTTCCTAGAGTTTTAGTTCGACTCCAAGATTTTTACAAGCAAAGTAATTTTTTTCAAGCTTAAAAAAGAAAAAAAAACCATTATGAAGTATGACACAAATTCTTAAGAATGTTTAAAAGATAATATTAAAAAGGAAAGTTTGTATTCTTTGCTTAGTTTGCTTAAGGCTGTGTTCTCACAATGTAGGGGGTTCATGGCTATTTTCTGTTCATGTAGGTTAGTTCAGTAAAAAATTTGAGGAAAAGTGCCTTTGACTCACAAAAGGTCTATTAACAAAGACTGTTGTTATTTTATGTGTACCTTTGGCCCTCTATCCATGGATTCTGGGTCAGCCAACCACGGATTGAAAATATTTAGAAAGGACATTACGCAACAGGTGCAGTTTTGTTTTTTTTTTCCTAACCTTGTTATTATTCCTTAAACAAGCCAACGTAATACTGTGCCTAGCATTTGCATTGTGTTAGGTATTCTAAATAGTCCAGAGGTGACTTAAAGCCCAGGTTCTGAGAATCCTGTGCCCTTGTGCAGAAGGGGCTGAGTGTTTGTGATGGGAAGGGCAGTTGTCCCCACCACAATACCTAGGGATGACTGTATTTTACTTTAATATTGTAGTTTTTCTTTCTAACCTTTAAGAGACAGCTTTCATTTTAATAAATGTCTCAAAAGAATTGTTTAAATTAAATATAACATTTTTCCTTTCTACTAATTTTGTAATTTGAGAAACAATGATATTCTGAGTGATTATAAATCCTAATATGGTAAATTACTGGATATTATTGGAGTGTTAACTGAAAGTGAAAGCTGTTGATTGAGGATACTTATTTTTTTGACTTTCAAATTCAAGTTAAGAAGAATTTCTCCCTAGTGTGGTGGTGCATACCAGCGCTCGGGAGGTGGAGGCAATAGGATCATGAGTTTGAGGTCAGCCTGGGCTACATAATGATCCTATTACACAAAACTAAGGGCTGTCAGAGGTAGCTTAGTGGTAGAGCACATGCCCAGCATGCATAAGACACTGCAAAAGAAACAAACCCTTCCATGACTGCTTTGTTACAAAGTTTGTAGCATTATAGAAACAATGGCAGAGAGCTTTTAGAGTCATTTATCCCTGCTGATTGTTACTTCGTGGAAAAAAATTCAGTCTGTGAATTTATTACTTGGTTATTTAGACTTTCTTTTGTAATAATTAAGCTTTTTTCTTCATAGTAAAAAAATCACAGATTAAGCAATATTTTATTAGTATACATTTGTTTCATTAGTGAGTTTCTTCTAAATTGGGAACATGAAGACTTAAATCTGTAATTGGATTATGGGTGCTGTTCAAATCACAGCTGCAGCTTTTTATTTCCATGTTTTGTTTTGATTGCATGCTACTAGGAAAGTCCTATTTTCTACAGATAACCTTTGTTTCTAAGGTAATTTCATGACCAAACCTGAGATTTTGAAAAGTTCAGTGCAGAGCTGGTGATGTGTTTATAAGAAGGTGAGATGTGTGGGCAGAAGAGAAATGGCCTGGCAGCTTAACTGATGTGTTTACAGTTCATGACACAACTAGGTGTGCACACTGTTTTTTATTACACATTAATAAATGGGACAGAGACATTGTTACAGCTTTTTTAGTACAAAGAATATTTCAGAAATGGAATGCAAGTCAGACATTTATGGAACCCCAAAGCACCTCTGGAGGCTCTGGATCTCACTGATGGCCTTTGTAGAACATCTGGCTTAAGAGATGATTAGTATTACACTTCTGTTTTGCTTTTCTTCATAGACAATTTAAGCCACTGTTTAGAACAAAAAATTATTTTGGGGTATTTGAATCTATTCTTTTTCTTTTCTAGTAACCATAACAAAGAAACAACCATTTTTGTGCCTTATTTACTTTGAAATGTCTTAACGTGATATTAAACTCATTACATTTGAGCCATAGGTGCTTATGGAAGTGTGGAAGTCACAGAGTGATGTGATACAGTTCTAATTTAGAAAAGTCTGTAACCCTCTCTCTGGTGTGTTAAGGTTTGAACTCAGGGTCTTGTGCTTGTTAGGTACCACTTGAGCCATGCCCTTAGCCCCTTTTGCTTTGGTTATTTTTGAATTTATGTCCAGGCCAGCCTGGACCACAACCCTCCTACTTACACTTCCCACATATCTGGAATGACAGGTTAGCAGCACTGTGCTCTGTGTTTATTGGTTGAAATTGGGTCTTGGTAACTTTCTGCCTGGGCTGGCTTCAAACTGCAGTCCTCTTGATCTCTGCCTCCCAAGTAGCTAGGAATATAGACTACTGTGTCCAGCCATAAAATTCTTTAAAAAGAGGCCTGACAGTATTAGAAAAAATGGAATTTTAATTTATGTGAATTGTTTTTAAATAGCTTGCTTACTAACATTCCATCTTCTTTTTGTTGTTGTTAAAATGTTTAGCTTTTAGCAGTATAGGGTCATTTATACTTAAGTATTAGCGATTTGTATTTTTTTTTTTTTGGCAGCACTGGGGTTTGAACTCAGGGCCTCATGCTTTGCTCTGCAGACACTACTGCTTGCACTCTGCCAGCGTGCTGTTTGCATTTTTGAATAAAAGAAGGCACATGGTTGAGTGTCTTAGTTCTCTTTTATGTTGGCAAGTGTTTGAAGAGGGGAAAGGAAGATGCTAGAAGGCTTTGACTTAATGTAGGAAAATTCCCACCTTTCGGCTTACTGTATAAACATTTGTTAGGTGCTTACAACATAAAAGCAATTTTACCTAGTAAAGAACCATTACTTTCAGTAAATTAATTTTCAGAGGAATTCTTTTTTTTCTTATTTTTTTGGTACTGGAGTTTGAACTTAGGTATTACACTTGCTAGCCAGGTGCTTTACCACTGGAGGCTCTCATTAGTGCCTGTTCTGAGGAGAGTGAAAGAGAAGCAGTGTTGCCTCTGCATCCCTTTGCCGTCTGGGCAGTTACTGCAGAGATGGCCTGCACATGGGTCTGGAGATCATAGATCTTTAAAAATAATCAAGGGAGCCCTTTCTTAAATCTCATTTAAGAAACCCTTAGATTTAACCTTATCATGGCAGACCAAGTAGTAGTTTGGTATGGCTGTATTAAAGACATTAAAGATTGTCTTTGACTGATTGTGGAGTTTGGTTTTTTTGGGGGGGAGGGGTACTAACATAACAAAAATCTAATATTTCTGTTTTCAACCTTTAGATTATTGTAGATTAATCATTAGAGATATTTAATGCCTATGTGTTAGAAGATGTCCTTTCTAAAAATTTGACTCCTGAGTCACTTTTAGGTGACAAATAAGGGAATCGGTTAAATACATGACTTGAACTAAAAGGAAATTTCCATTTAAGAAATAAGAAATATGTAGATTGTGGAGTGTTCCTAAAATGCTCTCTAGGTCTAACACAATGCTTGTAAAATTTGTTTGGAAGTATTTTCTTTATGATTGATTCTCCATAGATACAAATGATGGAAGAAGAGCATTTTGTAAAAGCTTATACATGAAGAGTTTTGATTTAGTATGGGTGGTTTCATAAAATGGTTGTTCTTTGTGTGCTTGTGTTAAATATATTAAATATTGTAAATGTTTTCCTTTTTAGGAAATTAAAAAGTTAGTTCATTGTGTTTTTTATAGCCAGGTTTTTTAGCCATCAAAATAATTTAGTATGGCTTTCTCTCAAATTCTAATACTGGAACAGCTGCTTCAAAGAGCTCACCTATGTGCATTATATTTTGTACTTCTTTATAAAAGTCAATAGGTTGTGATGAGTTTTTATTTAGGTGCTCACAGGTGGCCAGTCCCTTGTGTTGGCACCTTCAGGTCCATCCCCACAGAGGCCTGAAAATGATCCCCACAGCACTATGAAAATAGGTACTGATATCCCCGTGTCTTTATTTAAGTGTCACTTAGAGAAGATAGCAAATGTTACTCCTTTACCGAATACTAAGGTTAAAATTTGATATGGACAAAGGGTAGATACGGTGTGTACAAATGTTATTGAAAGTAGTCATTATGTTAGGTAAAGAGGCAGGACATAAAACTGTACACCACCCCAGTTTAATTTATGTACATTAGAAGAATCAAAGGAAGTATCTCGGAATGTTAGCGATACTTCTAATGGCTAGAAGAGTTGTGGGTTACTGTCTTTCTTGCATATAGTGGTATGGGTTAAGAATCTGAAGGGTGACTGTATCTTTCCTTTGGAACAATTAACATGGACTTGAAAAATATTCTTAAATTCCAAGGCCTTGGCACTCCTCCCCTGCAGGTTTAGGCTGTAAGATTGAAGTTGTTTTTAAACATAGGAGATTTAGATGAGTGGAGTACCATCCCGGCTAATTTTCTCTCATGACAATGTTTAGAGAGCTAACTTATCTCAGATTTAGAGCTATTTGTTTAACTTGCTTGTGGCCTCATGTTGTGGGAGCCTTTGTTTGTTTCAAATCCAGATACTCTTAAAATTGGCTGAGCATCTTCAGTGTCTAGCTTTGTTGACATCAGTGGTCTAGGTTTAAGAGGAAATGGTGTGGTGGGTGCTGTATGTGGATGAATCAGTAGTATAAATCCATGGACAGGAAAACCTGCTCAGAGACCGTGGACTACTGAGTATCAAAGTAGCCGTTTGCCTTATCCTTATATAAAGGTAGCCTTCCTCTGTTTTGTTTTTAAGTTGTCTGATCCAAATACCTCATATTAAATAAGAAAATTATCCTGCTAGGCACTGGTGGCTCACGCCTGAAATCCTAGCCACTTGGGAGGTTGAGATCAGGAGGATCATGGTTCAAAGCCAGCCCAGGCAAATAATTTGTGAGACACTATCTCCAAAATAATCAGAGCAAAATGGATTAGAGATGTGGCTCAAGCCACACTGCTTTGCAAGTGTGAAACCCTGAGATTAAAAAAAAGAACAGAAATTATCTTAGTATTAAGACTATTATGAGAATAGTATCAAGAATATAATGAGTAGCATTTTAGGTCTTTAAAAATGTCAGTTTTGTGCTTTGTAAACACAAAGCTATGAGTTCAAACCCCAGATTCACCAAAAAAAAAAAAGGTAAGTTTTGAGGACTATATTTTCAGGGAATGCACTTTAAAAAGCAAAATGCTATGATAACAACTGTACAAATGTTACTTACATTTTTTGCTTGTTAATTCATTAAACCAGTAATATGTATATAAGGCAGGAACTCTAAATCTTTTTGTCTTCTGATAAACTATTGACTATATGTGACCAAATTCTGAAGATAGGAAGATTTTAGTGGTCAAATAGAAGTGGTGTCAGCAAGTAAAAACCAAACGTATATTGTTACTCAACTGAGGTGACTGGATGGACATTATTTATTATTTCTACTTAAAACAGCTAAGACCTGATGGTACTGTAGGAAGCTGTGTATTTATTTACTTTTTGGTTTTTCTGGTTCTTTAGGTGATTGGTCTATTGGATGTTTTCACACCTGCAAGGTCTCTGGAGGAATTCAATGACGTGTGAGTAAATCTCTGAGACTTCCTTCCTCAGCCATAGGGTGACTAGCCTCCCGTTTCCATTCCAGAGCCATGTAACGGTTGCAGACTTCAGAAGATTCTTGATTCCTATTACCCAACTCTTCTGGGGGCTTGGGGCGGTTAAGAAGATATATCCTATGTATGGTACATGTTAATATTTTCATTACTCAGGCTCACTGTACCTTATTGGGAGAGTCAGTGTTGAATCCTTAAAAAAAGTTCCATGGAGAAGAATTGAGGGACTTTTGACTATGATTTTTCTTCTCAAATTGCCTGTCCTAGCTTTAATAAGTGCTGTTCAAAAATGTGCTGTAGTCCATTTCCACATGGACTTTTCAAACTCTTTATCCACATGTATGCAAGATGAGACTAGAATTACATGCTGATTCTTGTAATATTAGATTTTCCCTGGGGCAGGGGTGGATCTTATGTTGAAAAAGTCTCCTCTCAATTTTGTGACCATCTCTATTGTTTTAAGCCCGCACACCCCTTCCCCTTCCCTGGGAATCTCAGGACCCACTAGTGGAGAGCAAGGGGAAATACAATGGGATGTGTTAGTGGGCACCCTGAGGGCAATGGCTGAAAACTGCCTGGATCTAAGAAGCTGCATGAACGCTGTTCGGATGAGAACATCTGTCCTAGCCCCTGGCCCGCTGGCACAATTTGCTCTTGGGTCATTCATGCCTTCATGTGCCCAGGTCACACATGTGGGAGTGCAGGACACATTCCAGCAGGTGTCCCGTGCATCACTGACTTCTCTACTACAGTAGCTTTTCCAATATCTGAATTAACAAACCTCTTCATTCCTATCCACAGACACATTATCTCATAAGAGAGAAACACCTTAAATATGAATTACACATTCAATTCTGTTGAAACTTTGGCATTCTTAAGTAGGAAGGCTGATTATTATAAAAGCTAAAAACAGAATTGTAGATCATGACTGCCCTTCCTTAACTTTCTATTTTAGAGTTGGGCACAATGGTACACACCTGAGTAGTAATCCCAGCTACTCAGGAGAGTGGTCAAGGAGGATTGAGGTTCAAGGCCAGCCCAGGCAAAGAATTAGCAAGACCCCCATCTCAACCAAGAAGCTGGGTGTGGTGGGGGTGCACCTGTAATCCACCAGCCAATCGGAAGACATAGTTAGTAGGATCATGGTATGAGGCTGGCCGTGGGCAAAAACAGGAGACCTTATCCAAAAAAAATAACTAAAGCAAAAAAGGGCTGGGAGTGTGGCTTAAGTGGCAGAGCACCTGTGTGCCTGGCAAGTATGAGGCCTTGAATTCAAACCGCAACACTGAAAGAAAAAAAAAAAAGTATTACTTTTTACTAGTGTAACAAAACACCTGAGGTAACATAACTTACAGAGGAAAGGCTTATTTTGCCTCATGGTTTTAGAGGTTCTAGCTTATGATCAGATTGACATAGTGCTTTTAGGCCCATAATGGGGTGCTGGGTAACTGTGTGCATAGCAAAACTGTTCATCTCATGGCCAGGAAGCACAGAGAAAGGGGGAAGAGGCTGGGTTCCCAAAAATCTTCCTCAAGGGAATGCCTCAATGACCTAAGCACCTCCCACCAGGCCCCACCTCTTAAAGGATCCACTACCTCCCATAGTACCACCAGGGGACCACATCTTTAACGCACCAGCCTTTGGGAGACCTTCAGCGTCCAGACTACAGACCTGCACTCCTGCTGTGCTCAGCACAGACCCTGTTCACTTTCTCCCGCCCTTATCCTGGGCTGTGTTTAAAGCTGCCATGTGGTCCTTTCCAAGGACAAGTGGAGGGATGGATCTGAGCTTATATGTTCTGTCTATGGAGTGGGAGAGAGGAAGAAGAGATGAAGATGAAATGGTAAGAGAAGAGAAAAGGTAGCAAAAAGGTTTCCCCTCATTATAGCTTAGTTGAAACACTGGGTGGCTGAGAGTAGGAGAGAGAGCAGAACCTGGTCCATGTGGGAGAACTTGTCAACTGCATTTAATGCAGATCCTGCACTTGGAAGTTTAAGAAGCAAGCAAGGAAAAACTAAGGGCAGGAAGTGATAGTAATCGGGAGGCTCCCAAGACTCTGCTCTGGGGATGCTCTGCTTCCCCAGGCATGTGGAGCTCAAATGGCTGAGCCCTGCTGCCAGCTGACTGCTTTGAGAGGAGAATGCTGTGGAATGTGGGCTTTAGGTATTCTCTCTTAGTATGCACAAAGTACCAAAGCCAGGTGTTTGTGACTTACTATGGAAAACATTCTAGTTAGGTCTGAGCTTTATCCTAGAATTTTAGGCTTAATAAGGATGGATTTATTTGACAAAAACTGGATTGTGAACCTATTTTCCCTATGTGAAGAGCCAGTGTCTATTTAGAAGGTAAGTTTTATTGATTGTAGCACCTTGGGCTCCTCATCCATGAGGACCCACCAACTACAGGTCTACCCTCTAAACCCAGGGTGTGTATAGTGACTCATTCATCCAGTCATTCAACAAGTACTGTGCTCCAGAGCAGGTACTTCTGCCTAACTCCAGCTGGTTTCTGACTATTCTCTATGAACAACAACTGATTTCCCCTCTTGGAAGCAAATCTCAGGACTGGTTGCATGTAGAACACCTGGCAGAGTATGGGAACAGGCTCGAAATAATCAGAAACACGAGTCCTTCCCAGTGGTGCAATCACAGTCTGGTTGGGGAGACAAATTCAGAACATGTTTGTATCCAAATTACCAGCAGGACAAGTCACACACCTCTCTAGACACTCAGCGTCCCTGTAAAATGGAAACAAGCCATTGACTTCTGATCCTAGAAAGCCATTGAAGATAGAATGATGAAAATAAGCTTGCTGGGAGGAAAATACGTTTTGTGATGTTTGTGTCACTGAAAAAATTAGCACTTGCCCAGAACTGTTCTATTTCAGTGTTTTCCAGTCCTTGTGGAATATGTGTAAGACACTAAACATCTTCACCTACAGTTGCAGGGTTTGCAAATTTAAATGCCTTCAGGGCCAGACAACATAAATGAGGCTCAGTGTTGTGCAAGTAGGGGTGGTGGAGTCTATGTAAAACACCTGTTCCTCCCAACAGCATTCAAATCCACAGTAAAACAAAACAAGCAAACAAAACCCCACTCTTCTGGCAAGCCAAACACACTGAAAGCTAGAGTGGTTCTGCAGCTGCATACTTAAGCAGCCTGTAATTTTGAACATGAACTCCTACACTAATAATTATTAGCAAAGTCTCTAATTACTTTTCAGATGTACAGCTGGCTTTTAATTGTACATTTTGTGTATTTGTACCTTTATGTTTCAGTTAGCACCTTTCATTTTATCATACAATTCAAATTTTTACCCAGGTGGGGTTTTTTTTTTGGGGGGGGGGTGGCTAGGGAGTGTGGTACCGGGGTTTAAACTCAGGATCTTGCAATTGTTAAGCAGGTGCTCTGCCACTTGAGCTATGCCCCATCCTCCAAGTTTTAAGTTAATAGGCATTTCGCATGCCTCTTTTGTAAGACATGTCTTTGAGGAAGGAGCGATGTATAGTGGGTTTTGTTCATTAGGAGCAAGGTGCAGTCACTGAATGTGACAGATAGGTTTGGAAACACGGAGTTAAAAGATGAGCATACCAAGTGGGAACTGCCAGGTGATGGGGCTGCACACGTGGCTAACTTTCATACTGCTCCAGCCGTGTCTTTTAAATGATTGGAAACTGTTGGGTGTTTCTTGGCTTCTTAGTAGTCATATTTGCCTGGAAGATGTGCTGATCACATGGCAGCAAATACTGAGAAATGCAAAAATGTTAAGTAGCCAACGTTAGAACCCAGCCCTCTGGGCTCTTGGGGAAGCTACTTCTCCCAGCTACAGTATTGCCTTCCCTTAACTCTGACCAAGCTTGGTGTAGAGGTGATGGAGAGTTTTGGATTCTTCCTAGGAACTATTTCCTCAAATTTCAAAAAAATTGAGTTGCCATGGGTTCAGTGGAAATTAGTCTCCTGCCACTTCCCCCTTTTTTTACAATTTCCCATCCCAGGTTTTTTACACTGAATCCCTTATCTCTGCTTCATTCATTTTTTTTTTTAATTTAAATTTGATACTGGGGTTTGAACTCGGGGCCTTGCATTTGCTTGGCAGGCACTCTATTGCTTGAGGCACATTCCCAGCTCTTTTTGTTTTAGTTATTTTTCAGTTAAGGTCTCCTGTTTTTTGTTGTTGTTGTTGTTGTTTTTGTTTTTTTGTTTTTTTGGCCTGGACTAGCCTTGGACCACGAACCCCCTACTGTACATCTTGCATAGCTGCACACCCCCCACCCAGCTCATTGTTGACCTGGAAGGGGGCTCTCACTTTTTGCTGTGCTGGCCTTGAACCACAGTCTTCCCTGTCTTCACCTCCCTAATAGCTGGGATTGCAGGCATGACCACCATGCACAGCTTGTTTCATTCTTAAAGAGAGAAATGGAAATGGGGTCTTGGATTCTACCATGATCTTGCAGAAGATCTACAACAGCCTTCAAGTTACTGAAAGGAGATGGGCAGATGGTCACCTGGCATCCATAACCCCATCCTACTGAAAATGAGACCTCGCCACTTCAACTAAGAGCTTGGCCTTTCATTTCAGTATCACTTGAAGTGAAGGCACCGAGTTGGTGAAAGGAATTTCTGAGGCACATTTTAATGATTTTACTCAATAAATATTGAGCATCCACCCTATGCTAGGCATAGTTCTAGCTTCTGAGGAGCACAACAGATAAACACAATCTGTGATCACTAAGTTGAGAATCTTCATAGGGAAAAGAACAATTTAAACGATCAAACAAAATGTAGTGTGGTAAGTTTGAGTGGTCCTGTGCACCCTCATCTAACTTCATGCAGCTGTCTTTCTACTCTCTCTACATTCCTGGCTCTCTTACCTCCTGTTCTTCCTTGAATAGAGACCTCCTCATTCCCAGTAAGACCTGAGAACTCAAGGGTCATCTTCTCATTGGAAGCTCTTTTTCCCCAGCTGAA